AAATTACAATATTGTACAATCATAGGTACTGTTACATAACAGATCAAGTGAGGAAAATATATACAATCAATTCCAGAGATCCTTCATGACAGGCATAAGTGATATTAACAACTGAATTTAATGCAATTACTGTTAATAAAGCAATGTCATTTTAAGAGGACTCTTATCACAATGTCACTGATCACCTACTACAGCAAGCCATTAGCAAATTAGGTTGCTCATTAATTCTTGGGTTACATAACAGATCTTTTTCAACAGCACAGGTTAAGGAGTGTCTGTTAGGTTGCTGAAATCCTCCTGAATCTGCCAAGGTACTCAGGTACAGAAAACTCTAGAAATAACACTGATGTGACTTCATTTTTTGACCTTTGCCTACATAACAAAAACGTTTTCTTCAACCTCCAGCCACAATATTAATCAATCAGTGTCAGCGACTTGCCTTATAACTGCTGTTCCAGAATTCTGTGCAAAGCTTCCTTTAATATCATTACCTAGGCTTACAACTATTATGTATAAGTACGATTAAAAAGCCTATTTTGGATAAATAGTTACAAAGTATTCACCTACTGCTACTGAGCCATCCAAAAATATAGTAGGATGTTACAATGTCTACTGCCTATGTAATATTGCTATATAACTAACTAACTAACTAGATGGCTCATCACCGAATTAACCAAAGCCCTCCACAGGACCCTGTCCTGGGCCAACAAAATCCAGTCTCCTTCAACTCCCATCTCCCATAGATCCCGCCTGACATTATCCTCCGATCTACGTCTAGGTCTCTCCAGCGGTCTCTTCCCCTCAGGCTTCCCAACCAATACCCGGTGCACACCTCTTGTCCCATCCACGCGCGCTACATGCCCTGCCCATCTCATTCTTCTCGACTTAATCACCCTGACAATATTGGGGGAGGAGTACAAATTTTTAAGCTCATCATTATGCACTTTTCTCCATGCCCCATCTTCTCTCCTAGGCCCAAATATCCTCCTCAACAAATATTGCTATATATACTTACGTAAATAGAAACTAATTTGCTCAGTGAGGTTAGGTATAGACTTTCTCAATATCAATCCCATTCTTCATACTTACAGTTTTTGGCAAGTTTTTCACAATTAATCGTGACATTTCTGTATACTGTGGATCAAAGTGTTAATATGATTTTAAATCACTAATTCTCATGTCCTCAAATTATTTAAGCATACTGTAAAACACATACTCTCACGTTTTATAAACACACACAAGCGCTTCCCGGCACGTGTCGTAGAGGTTGGTATCAATACATGGTAGCAGCCACTGCCAGGAGTTCAGTCGGTAACATTATCAACTACCATCTAACTTCATCAAACAATCCCCCTTTCCACACATCCCAAACAATAAAAGGTTAATTTTACAAACCTGAGGAAACAGTCTTCCGAGATATTGAGCCGTGTAGACCGGAAGAAATTGACCGACATTTCAGGGGCTTGTAACTATCAGAAGATTAGCAGAACTATCACTGCCAACTCTCATTATCAATTGATCAAATCACAGTTTCAATCAATACAGACAAACCACTTGAATGCAACTGGAAATTTACAATAAAAGATATAACTGCCTAGAGAATAACAAAGACTTCATATCTGTTATCTTTAATACCAGACAGAGAAACTGCATACTCTAAAAACACTAATAAAATTCCGAATGATAGATTAAAATGTATAAATTTGTTATAATAAATAATTATTTAGTTCATGTATATTAAGCAATAATCTTTGTTCTTTGATTCCAGTACACACACTGCCTCACTAATCAATCAGGAAGTGTCTGTATAGAGTCATTTCTAATTTATACAATAAATTACATTAAAAAAATTATGATCAACAAATGATGATACTGACTATAAATGTAGCAGTTCATGTGTCTGTCCTGATGGAGATATTGAAACTTACAATGCAGAATCCATAGAATAAAAGTGAAGAAGAAAGACATTCCCAATAGAATTTGTCACATATAATATATATTCTGGTTTCATTTCCTACTTGGGATAATGAATAACAATGCTAATAAACAAAAAAAGAAAATGAAGTGTACAGGAAGAATAAAAATAAAATATATCATATGATCTACATGGGAATATGAATTAAAACATATGTAGCCTATACATTAATGGAAATCCTGTCTTATTATATCCATAGGTTGTCCAGTATTCATTTGGGTTATGTACACAACATAATTCTTGCAGATGTTTTGAGCCATGATAATATTCTGGTGTTTTAAATGTGTACTGAAAGTAAAAAAGTTTCATTTTTCATGCTTGCTTGCACTGTACCTCATTGATAATATTACAACATAACATAGCATGACTGATAAATGATGATAAGTTGGACAAGTAACAGAAATGAAAAAGGAATATGAGC